TTAGCGAGTAATAGAAATACGGAAAAAAATTATTAAAAAATAAATACTGAAGTAGTTCTTAAGACAATATATGATTTTGACTAACAAAAAGCAAAATTGCGTCAAACCTATTTTGAAAATGTTTTGATCCACGCATATTGTACACTGAATTACAATATCATTTGGCAAAAGATGGTTGTCTGTATAAGAACCAATTAAGGTTCATTAAATTCTTCCTTTGGAATAAATTGCAGAAATACCAATGACATATATATATATATATTAATTTGAAGCATCCCATACATTATATCCAAATACAATGAATTAAATTTAAGCATAAAATGCTGAGAATTAGTTCCTTACTATTTACAGCTTAACTGATTTTTGCAAAAAAATTAAATTAAAAAATATATGGCCACATATTATTGCTCAGTGAGTTACTTCAGATATTTTCCTGTCACAAAGTTGACCCTGTGTGAAAGAAAAGGATTGTTATCATTCATTTTGGACAAATATGTCTGAATTGAGAACTGAGGACGAAAGTTACTTGATTAATGTTTCAGTTGAAGTTGAAAAGGAACTTTCTCTTCCAGTTAACTAAATAAATAAGAATGATGATAAGCTTTCCAGCTTAGGAAAAATAATTTAGTTAAACATCATTTACAAACGGGGAACTGTTGCCACAGTATGTATGACATACACACATAGTGACAATTAGCTCACAGTTAAACTCACCAACCAAAAATTACGATGAGGGTGAGATGAAGAGGTCTCAGTCAGGGGCCGTATATAAAATTTGAGGTTTTGAATGTCTTCCTATTATTATTAAAAATAAGTCTGTTAAAATATATAAATTTTTACCAGTTAATTGTAAAGATTTAAGGTCTACATAAGAAAGACGATAAACTATCTATTAAACAAGCAATTCAACTAAAAAGACAAAGATAGCTATTGCATGTATTTTTTTTATCGAAATACAATGCAAGTTTATGAAGATATCCAAATGTGTCTGTTAAAACTGGTACTTTTGAATTTTCTCACTTAATTCAATTGAATTTCTTCTACTATGAGTGCTATGTGCAAACAAATGGTATTTTCTCAAAGTCACTCATTTGTTTGGTCAAAGTATCTTTGCCATACCAAAGTATTGATATTCCACCATTGTCAGTAGCCTTGGTTTAATGGCCATGTCTAGGATATATGGTTACTGTCTGTCAAATGTCTCTAATCTTGGTGTCTTGGAAATGGTTAGAATATGGCCAGAAGTATTGTTGTATTGGTCTTGAATTGAGTATGGCGTCACTGAAATGTACTAAAACTTAGGCTACAGTTTTGGTTGTTAGAGTAGTTCTATCCTCCAGATGAAATGTACTAAAACTTAGGCTACAGTTTTGGTTGTTAGAGTAGTTC